ATTAGGAATTGAGGGTTAGAAAGATGAGAGGGAATCAATCCCTAATCAATCCTTAATCAGCCCCATTCATCGCAGGGAGATTGCCTATCCTATCCCCACCCGGTGCCAGAAATAAAGAGACACTTCATCGTGGATAAACACCATGCAAGGGTGGAGAGGAACGGTGAATCGTAACTTCAGCCTCACGCCCCAATTCGCCATCCACAACAAGCAGCAGGTTCCCCCCCACTGCACTGATGGCAGCATCTTCCCCATGATGCTGAAGTGGATGCATCAGCTCCCCTCTCAGCACCGCTGCTCTCGTGGTTATTGCCATCGCCATCGTCTGGATTGTTGATATTGGTGTTGCCATTAGAGCTGTTGTTGATGTTGATGTTGTTATTGTTGTTGTTGTTGTTGTTGTTTTCAGTTTCATCCTTCGGACCCTCCTCACCCTTTTCACCCTTTCTACCCTTTCCACCCTCATCCACGCCGGCGTTGTCGTTGTTGTTGCTGTTGTTGTCGTTGTCTTCGTCGTCGTTGTCGATGTTGTTGATGTCCTTCTCGCCCTGCACACCCTTGCCGTCCTTACTGACATCGTTGCCTCCCATCATCACCATCTCAGCGATAGTCGCCAGCCCCTCCTCCTCATTGAGGGCAATATAAACCCTCTCCTCAGCATCCTGCTGAGGCTGAGGGACATCGTCAACATCAAGAGATGTTGTTGTAGATGATGATATTAGCATGCGTGCTGTTGTCGTCACCGGTAGTGTCTCTGTTGCCTTCTGCCCCCACTCCACGTCCCACCCTCTCACTTCACCAACGCCATACTCCCACTCCCCGCGCTGATAATCTCTTTCTGGTGTGCGCTCCCCACACACCGAATTGATGGCCGCAAAGTAGCCAATGATGTCATCGTCCTCCAGCGCGCCTGTTTCGCTATTGTCAACGTCTCCTTCTTTCTGCTCATCGTCACCAATCACGCCCTCCACGTAGACTGCGGAAAGGTTTGCGAAGTAGCTGGCCACGTCCACCTCATCATGCCCATCATCCTCTCCATACCAGACGTCATCATTAGTATCGTAGATCTCTGTGTAGTAAAAACTATCTCCACATTGCAACTTCCCATCCACCTCCATCTCGTTCCCGAAGTGCTGCGCCGCCATGTTTGTCGTTGTCTTCAATCTCTGCTGGCGGTACCCCTGTCCGCGCGTCATGGACAGCCACGTCACCAACAGCAGACACCACGTGGCCAGTCAAGGAGCCACGTGTGTGTGCTGGGCGCGCGCACAGGCCCAGCGTTCGAGGAGCATACCTCCTCAGGCGCTGGTCGAGCCTGGGGAACCAGGCCTCGCCGGTCTGCCAGGGGCCAGGGCGCCTTTTCGTTTCCTTTTTAATTGCCTGGCGCAAAAGTTGTTCGGGCCACAAGCCCGTAATTGTTTTTGAGCCGCATGCCCAGATGCGCCCCACCTACGGGTCTTTTGAACTGGTCCCCGTGGAAATGTTTCCCATTGGCAGACCCTGTCATGGACCGCTTCCACTATGCTGTGGCGGGTGCGCCACTGCAGATTGCAACAGACAATGGGACATAACATATAGGGAGAGACAGAAAGCACTTGGTCAGAGCAATTGCACTTGTTTTTGGCGTGGACACGGTGTGCGGTTTCCCTCTCTCTGTTTCTCTGTTCTCACTTAGCACCAACAAACGATGGAGCGCCATGCAGCATGGCAAGGTGGTTCTATGTGGGGCCGGTGGCATTCTGCGGCCCATGTGATACTATGTAGGTTAGGTGGGATGCAGCAATGTCATGAGAAAGTGTCTCTGCCCTATTTCTTGGCATATACATGGTGTGCGTGTTGCCTCTCCGAGGCTGCTCTTTTCTCACCTAGCATGACATAAAAATAGCGCACCTTGGCACTGGCAGATGGTATTATGTTGGGCTCGGTAGCATTATATGGGAGGGGTGATACTATGTGGATTGGGTGGTACCACGTGGACTGGCGTGTCTGACTGCAGGTCCTATGCAGGGTGGGTATGTATGGTACTATGTCGGTCAGAAGATACAATGCGAGGTAGGTGGGTTATGCACCCTGGGTTGGGTGGTAGATACAATGCGAGGTAGGTGGGTTATGCAACCTGGGTTGAGTGGTAGAATCCGGGGTATGTTTGTGATGGTATGTGGCCTGGGCTGTTGTGATACCCCCCCGCCTCTTCGCTCTTCCCCAAAAATAATGTACCAAGGAGAACTTGCTCCCGAGAGCAGGCGAGGGGAGTGGAAGCCCTGTTTTTTCTTTGGTGGAAGTCATTTCTTTGTTGGGTTGGAACCTTCTGTTTTGGTTGGGGGGGAGCCTTTTGTCTTTTAACCACCAGGACCTTTCCCAAATGTCGGCCGCGGGCACTGCACGCCGGCCCAAATCAAGACTGGCGCCAATTCGATTTATCTGCGGCAGCCCTTCTGTTTCAGGCCAGCGCGTTCCCGGGCCGTCTCTGAAAAAATAACTAGGAAAGGTACTGGCGGTTTAACTAAGGTATAGTCTTCTCTCGAAGTCACCTTTCGGTACCTACTACCACTACTCCCAAGGCCAAAAAGGGGATCCTGCAAGTATAGCCACCTCTCACAATGAAGGGGATGCAAAGGGGATCCTGCAAGTATAGCCACCTCTCACAATGAAGGGGATGCAAAGGGGATCCTGCAAGTATAGCCACCTCTCACAATGAAGGGGATGCATGTTTCCCCCTGACCTAATGGCTACGGTCAGGGAGTAAGGTGAGGCTGCTGGTGGGGGTGCAGCAAAGACAAAGACCGACCATTTTGCCGGTAGCTGCGCCTCCCTTTTTCTCCTTCCCCACCTTTATTGAGTAACAGCACTGTCTTAAGGCCAACACTCTCCCAGACACAATCCACTCCCACACACACTCACACCCATGTTGGCTCAAGATGCTACTAATACCCACCATGGGGAGCAAGTCAACGATCTCGGCTGGTTGGCACCAGGTGTGCCTCGGACCGTCACTGTGGATTAAACCCACCACCGCCTCCCAAATGCCCCTCCCATGCCTAACCAACTGAGGCAGGCTGCTCACATGAACATCCACATATTGAGAAACTGGATCCTCTTGCACTTATCTTTTTTTTTTGAGAAACTGGTTAACCGTCCGTGTTTTTATCATCAGCAAAAAAAAAACAATCAATAGAGAAACTGGCCCCCAAACTGGCCCCCTTTCTGGAAAAAAAAAGGCTGAAGTTTACTCATTCAAACTTTAAAGAGCAAGCGGACCCAGCGTGCCGAAGCCGCTCCCCAGTCCTGCCTATACGCGACAGGAAGCGTGGCAATGTCGGTTTGTGAGTGTGTGTAGGATGAGCAAAATCAGAATGAATCTTCAGCCAGAACAAGGAAGCATAATTTTTTTTTTTTTTTTTTTTTTGGAAACCCCCACGTGGATTCTAGAGGTGCTGATAAAAGTTACCCCTAGCATTCTCGGGAGGCTCCATCTATTGGTGGGGAGCAGCAGCTGCTGGAAACCGGGTCTAGCGTCCCTGAACATTGTCATCATTCTTGGTAGACAGAGATCGAGATGCTCTCCTGCAGATCTGCTATCATGACATACCCTGGAGCTGTACCTACACTTGTTCTGGACTACCCGTTGAAGATCCCTGAAGAGCTGAACTCACTGCTATCCTGCCAGCATTGATTACCCTGAAACCAGGGGATTGACTGATCAGGTAAAGCCTACACCGCTCCGTACCAATGTAGATCCGAATGGAGAGGCCATGGGGTGGAAAGGGATCGGGGAAATCATCAGCAGGGCGCAGAGGAACCGCCCCATCTACCTTGCTCCAGTCGTTAAAGCAGATACCATAGTCCCTTCCCATCACGTCGCCACCCCCTTCTGGAGACTGTCCTCCCTCCCAACGAATGTGGGCTATCCTGCCATCTGCGAGGATTCGGATCCTCGGCAGGCCTAAGGGGCCCCCTGTTGCATCTGTGCCCGCCCTAAGTGAAGGCGGGCCTAACAAACCACGAGAGGCCCTCGGCTGTCAATTTCGTATTTGGGGTCCAGGCAGTTTCATCGCGCCAGTTGTTTGAAGGAAAACACAGGCCGAGAAGCGTGGAAATTTCCCAGGCCTTCTAGGCCTTTCCGAAAGCACAGGCCCTGGGCGAGATTCGCAGCCTCATACACAGACAGTTGGGAGGCCCAACCGAATGAGGCCCAGCAGCTACACCTGAGGCGCAGCATCCTGGGGCGTACCGGAAGCTTCTGGGCCCAGGCCCGGCCAGCCAGGGCTGCGAAGGCAGGAGGCTCTTTCCATATAGGAAAGAGCTCGCCACGGTCAGCGATATTGGTGGACTTGCTGGCTGGCGGCAGCGCTGCTGGAGCTCATGCTCGCGGGCTGGCTGCTAGCGCTGGAGAAAGGTGCAGCGCACGTGCGGTCGTGTGTGGAAGTAGGGCGCTGTTGAGGGCAGCGCCATAGCCCAGCCTTCATAGCTGGCTGAGGGCTTGGATGTACAGTGGGGCGCAGGGGTGGTCTTCGGGTGTACAGAGGGAAGACGTGGGTGTAAGACGAGGGAGAGAGAGAAGGATGATGATGATGATGATGATGTGAGGGCACATACCTGGTATTGGCGATGTTCTGCTACCGGCGACATCTGCAAGTGTTGACGTCAACACTTGCATTGTCAATTAGTAGGCTAGTAGTAACTGTGTAGGGAGTAGGCTGGGCGCCGAGCGCCAAGTAGGGAGATAGGGACTGGATACATATGTTGGTGGTGGCGAGAGCAAGCTCTCATTGACAGTGGTTTTCACAACTTTTCAGCGCTACAATTTTCCAGTGGTGTTATATTGATGCAATGCTGCTTTCTGAACACTGTGATACGATCTGGCTTTCAATGTGATTGTGCAATCTGAATATTATCATCTCGCTATTGCTCATTTTCATTATACATCCATCCCCAGCCATTCCCTGGAAAACTGTTTGATGGCTTGCATTATATCTTTTTTCGTTTGCAACAGATCCACTTTTGCTTTCACACTTCGCCGTTGTGCCATGATTTATTCCTGAATATATTGGTTAACCATTTCGGTGACCTCTTCCTCCTCTATTCTGAATCCTTCAATCGTGTGTATGCACCTTTTCCTTCAAAGGGCCCAAATGACAGCTCTCCTCCCCATCCTGAACTTATTATTTTCAAAAGGACAGTCCATGGGAGAAGACCAGGTTTCACATAAGAGGGCTCTCCAGTCCTATGGCCATGTGGATGTAGAGCCGAGCTGTCGCCAGATCGTGTCCCACCATCACCGCGTCAGAATTGCGCCCGGGCATTGCAGAAAAATGTGCTCTATGGTTTCCTCGATTTTACGGTGAGGAAAGGAGGCCAAACTGGAGTGGCACCATGGCAGCGATAAGCCCTTTTGTTCTAGGTAGGTTCGATCCATTAGCCAATTATTTATAGGGAGGCAGCAGTGCTCTATCTGCCACTGCAGCGAGGCCAGTTTCGCAGGTTTGGATCTCGTGGCCCTAAACCATCGGATGGGTCGAATTGTGTCCCTTACCACATTCAGATGCGTTAGCCATCGCTCTCTCACAATGTCTTTCACATTTATCCTTGGTCTCAGGCGGCGGTAGGCAGGTTTCATTGACAAGATGAATAGAGTCATGTTTACCCCTGCTTTACTTGTCGGATTCCATTGCCAATCCTCCGGATCGAAAGAGAGTTTAGCAAGCGGGGTTTCGGGGAGGAAAGTGAACCATTCCTGTGAATGGTGTACCCGGATGCGGTGCAAATCTGTCTTTTTCCGCCATCTCAGCACATCAGGGTGATACCTCTTTAACCTATTTATATGTTGTCAATGAAAGAGATTCACCAGTGTTTCCTTGTGTATACCACCACCACGTTCCCCACGCTTTTTGGATCACCCGGGATAGCCACCCACTCTCCTTGTAGACACGGTCCTTTGCGCAGGATGCACACCCAGTCCAGGGGTACAAAAAATATCAATTCCTCCGAGTTCTTTCCTACGTAATGGCAATGTTTTAGAAGAGGTTTCAGCTTTTGTTCTGTTTGCCAATTTTTTTCCTCCACGTCCCATATGTCCCTGATTCTTATCACCTCGCTTTTGACCCAGCTGTTTCACGGGGGGTCCGAAGTGCGGTATACCCTCCCGTGTTGATCACTGATGTCTCGTCACCTCCTCCCACCT